CCGTGGTTTAATTCCTTTATTGTATTTTTATTACAATATACTTCAGGGTTTTACACTTGCTTGAGAAAGAGGTGTAGAGCTAAGGTAGTAACTTCGCACCCTTAGATGGTGGGTCTTGACGGTTTCAGCTTGATAAAGTAAATCAAAGCTCCATCGTTTGTGTCTAGCTCGAGAGTGTAGATTTGATGAGATTGTGGGTTGGTCTTCTTATGATATACATTGAGGTTCGAAAGAACTCAGTGGGAATAAGGTATTTATTTGGTAGAAAAATGTTTTATCTAAAACTCATACCACCCTTAAAAAATTAACTTGGTTGGTTAGTGATTTGCACCTGTTGAATCGAGTATAGCAGTTGGTTAGTCAATCCCCCAAGTATTTTCTTTGTATTTGATAAGCTCTTGTTAATTGTTGAAGTGGTTTGGTAGTCTGACAACTATTCATTTAGATTGGTAACGGCGCTTTTGAGTTTGGTTTGTAGATTCCTAAGCGTTTTGTTTATTCAGCTAAAAAGGTCCCCGTCATACTTTCATTGTCGTACTCAAAAGAAACTACTCTCTGTGGGATCGACCCCAAACAAGTGGCCAAGTGGAAGTGTCGAATCAACAGATCAAGAATATTTTGGCCAAGACAGTAAATACAAAAAGAATTGATTGGTCTCAAAATCTTGATGATCCTCTATGGGCATACTTTTGTGTGACAGGTAGAATTGGTACATTTTGGGTTATGTTGGCAGTGTAGTCAACAATTTTGTACCGCTTCACGATGTTGTTTTGCGACCTTGTTACTGCACGATTGGTGGAATTGGCGCTACGGGTTCAGTCGGGGGTGGAAAAGCGGGACTGCAACTATGCACACCTAGTGAGAGGTGAGGGATTGGGTCGGTATATATGGGGTGATGAGATGGAGCGTCACCGATAAACATGAGTAATCGGTAGTCGGCGATGTAATGTGAGAGGACAAGTAGAGAGGGCAAGGGGGCTTGGAAATATGAAGTGGGATGGTAGGGAATCTACAATAGGTGAAATCTGATTGAAGTTTGGGGAGAGGGAAGTAGTGTGAAGATTACCTGGAGCAAGAGTGGTGAAATGATCTGACTATGGTTTGTTCCTCGGTGGAACACGAAGTGAGCAATCATCTTGCCGTGTATCTCGCATCGATTGAATGGTAGGGGGAAGCAGCGTGTGATCTGGAGTAGTGGTGTTGGAAGTAATATCAGGATTTGAATTGCTTTTGTTTGAAGTATCATCCTAGTTTAAATATGAAAACTATTGTTTTAAGTGGGAAAACATATTAGCAAAAGGGAAAATATACTCAAAATTTTTTACATCCCGTGAGAGAAAAAGTTTGGAGCTTGTAGGTTCAAAACCCTAATGCCAATGATGGGTGACCAAATAACCGAGATAGACACAGGTTTTAGAATACGACTCTAACTTATGTTGAGCATATGCTCGGAGCCATGAGTAGCTTAGACAGCCAAATGTACGAAGAGATTCATAAGCAAGTGCCTCTTTGAAAAGAACTTTGAATGGGGACTTGTTATCAAGAGTGGTGGTGGGCAGTCGGTTTATGAGAAAGGCAGCATGATGGTAGGCAAATGTCCAAAAATCGGAGGGTAAACTCGCTTCGCCTTTCAGCTAGAGAGACCCTTTGAGGAGAGTGACGTGGAGAAACAAGATGTTGTATTCCATTGGAATGAATGTATGGTTCCATGATCTGATATTCTCTTCCTCCATCAGTGTAAAGTGTAATTATTTTGTTACCAAAATGTTTTTCAAGCACGGGATGTAAGCTTTGAAAGTGTTTGAACCTCATGTTTGTTTTTCATTGTGTTCAACTAAATGTATCTAGTGAACTAATCAACACAGAGAAAATAGTATTGCTTTTTATGAATACAGAGAATAGGGGATGGGCCCACAGATCATTGTAAATTATTTCTAATGAAAAGTTGTTGGACAAAGTGTTGGAATAAAATGGAAATATTTGCGCTTTATTGCAACAACAAGAATTACAAAAACCAAACTTGTCCTTGAAAGAATACGAAAGATATGTATTACATAAAATGGAAATTAAAACTCTAGAATGGGGGTGGCCCAATTTTCAATGCCACAGATGTAGGGAAGGTCCAACAATGGTTAAGTTGATGTTTGGTCGAGATAGTGATGGCCATTCATAGACTCCTGCTTTATTTGGGCCGCACAGTAGAGGGGTTCCTGTAGTCAGATTCTTCGCAAGAAAATTAAAAAGAAAAAAAATTATATTAAGGTTACAATATCTTTGCAAAACTGATGCACTGAAACAAGTTTGAGCTTGATAGCTGGAGAACACAAAATATTAGATAGTTTGGAAGCATTATTTGAAGCATTTAAATGAGTGGTACTCGTTTGAGTAATTGGAATCACATTATCGTTACCCGTTGTCACTTCCTCGATCCCTTTGAAGTACTGAACATTGCGGAGAGCGTTGGTATCATAGGTAATATGGTGAGACGCACCTGAATCGAGAATCTAGGGTTATTTGGCAATGTTTGTGCAACAAAGTTTGCTTTTGGTTCTAAGAGGTTATCGGACCGGGAGTGGCAAATACTTTTCGTATGTCCAAATTTGTCACAAATTTGACAACGGACTCGTGAAGATTGGTATGGGAAGTTGCTTCGCTGATAATTATCAACGAGATGATGGGAAGTGTTTCTTTGAGACGGCTGCCTATTTTCTGGACGCCAATTATTATTGTTGGGTGGGCGCCGATTATGGCATGGGGAAGATGGAGGATTGGTCACACATTGAGCAACAACTGCAGTGACCTAGGTGGAATTCTTCTTGAGATCCTCATATTTAATGAATAGTTCATGATCCAGAACCTTATCAAAGAGTTCCTCAAAGCTTATTGGAGAGTCATGTTCTCATATGGCCACTGAGATCTCACGGAACTCTGGACCAAGGCTACTCAATATATTCACCACAAGTTCTTCGTTATTGACGGGTAAACTTGTTGTGGGGAGTTCATCAAGGAAAGAGCGAATCTCTCGCGTATATTCATCATTTGATTTTGTGGTCTTTGTTGACTTGATTGAAATGGTGACGAAGGCTGAAGATGTGGGTTTACGATCTGTTCGCAAAGGAAGTGTGAAGTTGATCCCATGCAGGTTTGGAGATGAGCGCAGAAGCTACCGTGGATGCAATTGTGGCATCAACAGAAACCACGAGAGCATTTTGGATTAGTTTATCCTGACAACCAATCATTGTACTCGGGGTTGGTAGTCCAAGGACACTAGTAGTGACTACTTCAGGTGGGCACAATTTAGTGCCGTCAAGATGACCGTAGAGGTCATGACCATGAAGCAGGATGGAGATCTAGGCCTTCCAAATGGTAAAGTTGTCGCTGCCAGACAATTTAATGGGCAGTTGTGAGGAAGGGTTGAATAGAATCAGATTTTTTAGGATTGAAGCTGCGTCGGTATTAAGCACAGAGATGGAAGGGCCCATTTGTGTGCATAATTTTTTTTATTGGCTCTTGGATGTCGTACTCGTTAGAGTATATTGGCATTGATACCAAATAAATGCACATAAGTAGAATGAAATTGTCTATTTATTAATGAGCCTCCAATGGAGTTTTTATACAGCGCTAACAAAACAGATCGTGCTAACCTAACTCTAATAAATAGGAATTGATAAACTTACGTGACCTACACTAACCGAAAAATAAACTTTACAAACTTAAAGCCTAAATTTAATGAATATGACGTATCCATATTTACCACAATGGTACCGGTACATGCTCTGTTAATAGAGAGCTTAGTCCACTGGGCTTTCTTTTATCTTTAACCGAAGAAATTACTTAATCAAATTACTACTACAATAATATTTGTTGAACACTACTATGTTGCAAATGAGTTGTTTATACCGAATAAAAACTTCAAGAATGTTGCATTTTTAGACATGCAATTCTATGGTTTTGGTAAAAAAAATGAGATGCATGAATGTGCATATTCTCACTCCTGTAATAACTTTCAGGAGGAGATGCCTTCAAAGAAAAGAAGGACAAATTTTCAAAGAATATTATTTTAGCATAGATGGAGGACCTGTTAGTTGTGAAGGTTTTAAAAACCTGTTTAAGCTAAATAACACAAAGGGAAATCAAGACTGACTCGAATCCTGGACCTGATCTTGAATCCTACACCGGTTAATGATGCGATGGGGGAAGTTTTTCTTTTTTCATCAATGCTGGCCCAGTCGAGGCTCGTCCATGCCCAATCCCGAGGGGCCTTCGATTTGCCCCTACCCTAGCTCTATAATCCACCCGTCTTCCCCAGTCCCTGAAAGCCCTCCGGGGGCCTAGCCCTCTTTCTCCACTCGAGTCTGAAGTTCAGCGGCTTTCATCGTTGACGAACACCTGCGCTAATAAGACAAAGAAATGGAGAGTCTATGCCTTGAATGAATCAGTAACAACGGATTAGTGGAATGAGGGATCAAGAGACGGATAGGGAGGGAATGGCCTATCAATCATTGGTTGACCTTCCCTTGAACCAGTCACGGAGCTCTCAACTGAGTTGTTTAGGTTCTGGAATTCCATCTCTAGTTGGGGCTTTCGATTCGAAAAAATGTGGTGAGATATATAAGAGCCTAGAATGAAAAGTAAAAAATAATAACACACACGATGTAGCAGTTAACTAAACAACTCCTAAATAATAGGAAAGCATGACTAACAACTAATTGACTAAGTCTTAGTTAAAACATAGGCAGTAAAATTAAATTTACTGCAGTTCAAAAGCAGATTCCTAACACTCCTCCTTGCTTTGGATACTGCAAACTCCAATTTTCTGTCTAAGAAGCTCGAATTTGCTGATCGGTAAAGTCTTAGTAAACAGGTCTGCTAGCTGGTTTTTAGACCTGCAGTAGACTAGAGTCACTTCTCCCTTTGTTGCACTTTTCTCAAGAAATAAAACTTGATGTTGAAATGCTTGGTCTTCTTGTGAAACACCGGATTGTTTGAGATTGCAATAGCTAATGTAAATCATACATGATCTTTCTAAGCCACAAGACTTGGTTTACTGCTCCTGTTGCTGCTATGAATTCAGCTTCTGCAGTTGATTGTGCAACAATTTCCTGTTTCTTAGATGACCATGAGAATATTCCTGAACCTAGGTTGAAACAATGGCCAGAGGTACTTCTCATATCATCTGCGGATCCAGCCCAATCACTATCTGAGAATCCAAGTAACTTGAAGCTTGGACACTTCTCAAACTTTACACCATAGTCAATAGTACCTTTGATATATCTTAATATTCTTTTTGCTGCTCTTAAATGCATTTCACTTGCACAGTGCATAAAACGAGATAAGAGACTTACAACAAATAAAATATCAGGCCTTGTTGCAGTGAGATACATTAAGCATCCAATCAAGTTTCTATAATAACCTTCATCAACTTTGTCGGCTCCATCTTCTTTACAGAGCTTCTCTTTTTGATTCATCGGCGTGCTCATCGACTTGCATTCCTCCATTTGAAATTTCTTCAGAATTTCCTTTGCGTATTTCTTCTGGCAAATGAACACTTCACTTTTGCTTTGCTTAATCTCCATTCCTAGAAAATAGGTCATAAGACCAAGATATGTCATTTCAAAAACTTGCATCATTTCTTATTTAAACTCCTCAACCAGCCTTGTGTTATTTCCTGTTACCAGAAGATCATCAACATAAAGCGACATAATAAGTATATCAGTGTCTTTATGTTTTACATACAAAGTGGATTCAGATAAGCTTTTTTCAAAGCCCAAGCTTAATAGATGATCATCTATCCTACTATACCAAGCTCTTGGTGCTTGCTTTAGGCCATACAGAGCCTTTTTTAGCAGATAGACTTTGTCTTCATCACCAAGTTTCACAAATCCTGATGGTTGCTCGACATATATTTCCTCCTCCAGTATGCCATTTTAAGAAGGCTGATTTGACATCGAGTTGGAACACCTTTCCATTCCCATTTTGTGCTGCTATTGCCAGTAGCAATCTGATTGTGTCTAATCTTGCAACAGGAGAAAAGGTGTCAGAGTAATCAACACCATAAATTTGTTCGTACCCTTTAACTACAAGCCTCGCCTTGTATTTGTTGATGGAACTATCTGCATTTAACTTTGTTCTAAAGACCCATCTCACACCAATGACTTTTCTATCTTCAGGTTTGTCGACCAGTACCCAAGTTTTATTTTTCTCAATCATGAAGATCTCCTCCTCCATTGCTTTCTTCCATTTTGGATCTTGAAAAGCTTCTACGGGACCAGCAAGTTTTAGATGGCGACATTACACCTCTGATAGATATCTGACAACAATCTTCTCCCCTTGACTGGGTGATCATCTTCTAGTTCTTGCTGCCACTGTTCTGTTTTTTGCTCTTCAGGAGGGCTGATGTTTGCTTCTAGAGAGTGTTTTCCTGATTTCTGAGAGTTCTTCCAGTCCCACTGTTCATTCTCACTAAAATGAACATCTCTTGTAATTGTCATCTTTCCTGTTTGAGGATGATAGACCTTGTAGGCTTTAGAAACTCCACTGTAACCCACATGGATGCCTATGATTGCCTTCTTGTCAAGTTTGTCACATTTAACCTTGTAGTGATTGAGTTCTTTGAGGCCCTGCGACATCAGTGTGAACTAGTTGTAGCTTTTGTGAGGCTCTCCAGGTTGATTTTGGAAATGGCTTTCTGTGTTGCTTACCAAATTGACAGGCATGACATTCAATGGAATTTGCTTCCAGATCAGGTAAGCTCTCCACCATCTTCAACTTTTGCATCTTGACAAGCCCTTGATAATGATAGTGCCCGAGTCTCTTATGCCATAACTCAGCGACATTTTCTTTTGCTGAATACAACATCTGCTCTTCCTCAAATGGATCTAATGAGAAACTTTTTCCTCTCATTTTGACTTTAAACAAGTCCTGCCCTGAGGGATCCTTGATCAAGCAATATTTATCTTCAAAATAAAGTTTGAAACCTTTTTCTAACAATTGACCAACACTTAACAAGTTTCGGTCTAAGTCTGGTACATAAAGAACATCTGTTATTGTTTTTGTACCTGCTTGTGTCTCAATTGCAATAGTTCCCATTCCTTTTACTGGAATGTGACCACCATGGCCTATTCGAACATTTGCAACTCGAGTAGGCTTCAATTCTTTGAAGAGTTCTTTATCATGAGTCATGTGATTTGTGCATCCGCTATCAATCAACCACGACTCGCTAGAAACATTGCTTGCAAAACATGATGCAACAAATAGTTGATCCTCCTCCTGATCATTTACAACTCGAGCATCTTCATCCTGCTGCTGAGTTTTGTTCTTACAAATGATTGCTTCATGCCCAAACTGATTGCACTTACTGCACTTAGCTTCAGGCCTTCTCCAACACTTGAAAGGTGCGTGTCCGATCTTGCCGCAATGCTTACAAGGAGGGTAGTTTCCTTTGAAGCTACCTGTTTTGTTTTTGTTGTTGCGTGCTGCACCTTCTCCATCTGTTGGTTGGTACTTCTTGTTCTTCTTTTTCTTATATCGTCCATCATCTTGATGCTTGGCAGGTAAAGCTCCTTCAACAGCTCCTTCTTGTCTCATAACACGTCGTTGCTCTTGTGCTTGAAAGGCACTTAAGAGCTCTGTTAGTGTAATACTGGACAAGTCCTTAGTATTTTCTAAGGTTGTAATGGTCGCCTCAAATCTTTCAGGTACCGTTACAAGGATTTTCTCAACGATCCTTGAATCGTTAAAAGTGGAACCCAACAATCTGACGTGATTGGCGATGTTAAGAAGTCGGTCAGTGTATTCCTTTATGGTTTCACTGTCCTTCATCTTTTGCAGCTCAAACTCACGTACCAAATTCAGCACTTGCATCCCTCGAATTCTCTCATCTCCTTCATACTCAGTCTTAAGATAATCCCATACCTCTTTTGCCGACTTCAGAGACATGATACGAGTGAAGACAGTGGATGAAACTGCAGCAAATAAACATGCCTTTGCCTTTGATTTCCTAATTTTCCTTTCCTGGTGATTTTTAATTTGCGCCATCGTGGGATTGTTTGGCAA